TGTCCTCGACCAAGGTGGGAGGGAAGATGGCGAGACGACGTCGTGGCTCCTCGGGCTCTGGCGGCGGATGCGAGGAAGGACTCAAGAACAACAAGAAGGACAAGGACAAAGGACAGAGCGAGAGCATCGTCCGCTACAGCAACAACAGCGGCGGCGGCGGCGGCGGCGGCGGCGGCGACGAGGCCAACACGATAGCGACCACGACCGCCTCCGCCACGGACATCACCGCCGCGACCACGACCACCACAGTTAAGATATCGAGCACGACGTCCACGGACGCGGCCGCCACCTCCCTGGGCGCCGGACTCAACCGCGCGCAGCCGAGCGGAGGAGGCGCTGGAGGAGGAGGAGGAGGAGGAGGCGCAGGAGGAGGAGCAGGAGGAGGAGGAGGAGGAGGAGGAGGCGCAGGAGGCGAGGCGGTGCCCACCACAGGCAGCACTTCCGCCTCGGGTACAACGACGGCCGGCCGAGGCAACAACCACCAGCGCTCAAGAAGGTGTTGCTTCTTATGGTGCTGCTGCTGTCGGTGTTCATGGTGAGTACCCGGGGGAGGGGGGAGGGGGGATAAGGAGAAGGATCAGTGAGTGTGTGTGTGTGTGTGTGTGTGGAGAGAGAGAGAGAGAGAGAGAGAGAGAGAGAGAGAGAGAGAGAGAGAGAGAGAGAGAGAGAGAGAGAGAGAGAGAGAGAGAGAGAGAGAGAGAGAGAGAGAGAGAGAGAGAGAGCAGTGATGCAAGGAGGGTGATAAAGGTAAGCTGTAATGATTTTTCTCAAAGGCAATGAATGCAAAAGCGTCTTGTGTGTGTGGTATTCAAATCTGCATTACCTTAATCTTATTAGAATATATATGTTTATAATTATGTGTTTATATGCCCCTTTTCAATTAATGTATGCAGTGCATCATCCAATATAACATTTGTAAATATATGATCTAATTTAACAAACATGTAAAGCAAAACACAAAATCTTGAAATAGCTCGAAAATCTGTTAACTCACGTGTTAGAAAAACAACTTACCAATTGCTTCTCTTTGGCTTTACGTTTTTCAAACGTTTCAACTTATGTACCGCGTTACTCACAACTTGATAACGTTTCACTTTATCTATAACGTCTCAACTTAGCGCTTGTTGACACCATTTGAACTGTTCATAACATCACAACTTATGTCCAGCGCTTCAATTCGTTCATATCAGTACAACTTCAAATATTATATAACGTTTCAAATTTTCATAATATTACAACTTCTGCAGAACGTTTCAACTCATTTACAACATTCCAACTTACTGACAACTTGTTTACGACCTACCTACAACTTTTTGACCTATTAACAAACCGCCGAACATGATCCACTAGTTATTCAAACCGAACACAACTCATTTTCGACGCACCAACCCCCCCCCCCCCTCCCCCTCCCCCCCCCCCAACGCAAAAACAAAACCGGGGAGCGACCCTCTGGTCTTACGCCCCACGACTGACAAAGGCCGCTCCCACGACCCCTGACTTTCATCGAGCATCTACGACCTCTAACATATCAAAAGTGTTTTTTCTTTTTTAACATCGCATCGCACGGAGAGCACAACCTAAATACGTCCTCGGGTGTAATGAGAGGTGCTTGAACTTTGACCCCGATCGGGACGACCTCGCGTGCCCTCTGCCCCGATTGCTTTGACCTTTGGCTGGTGCCCGGGCCCCGCCGCTGCCCTGCCTGGGTCGCCGGGACGGGCAAGGTCGGCGGTGAGGCCAGCTGAGGGGAAGGCTTGTCATCAGCAATGTCAGAAGCCAAAGGAGAAATGGGGCTATGACAAAGCAGCGCTGACATCAAGAACAACATCAGGAATGAGAACAAGAACGAGAACAACAAGATATACAAGAACAAGAACAACAGCAGTAACAATAACATTAACAAAAGTAAGAAACAAGAACTACGAACAAGAAACAACAAGAACGAGAACAGCAGCGGTAACAATAACATTAACAAAAATAAGAAACAAGAACTACGAACAAGAAACAATAAGCACGAGAACAGCAGCAGTAACAATAACATTAACAAAAGTAAGAAACAAGAACCAAGAACAAGAAACACGAACAAGAAACAACAACAACAACAAGAACGAGAACAGCAGCAGTAGCAATAACATGAACAAGAGCAAGAACAAGAACAAGAAACAAGAACAAAGCAGCCAAGGCAGCGACACTCCAGGCCCAAAAGCACCTCTCAGACCAACTGCAAATAACACACGATCATAAGCATCAATGAGAAGCGACAGCAATCAATGATGAAATAATGATTATGATAATCAATGGTGAAGAATTAAAGTATAAATGTATGCTTTGAATTAGTCAGATACGAAGAGTCTTGATTGTGGTTCTCCCGATTTTGCTGTAGTGATAGTGAGGGAAAAGAGTGATAATGAGGGGAAAATTGATGGTGAGGGAAAAAATGATAATTAGTAAGTGAGGGAAAAGCGAAAGTGATAATGATAGTGAGGAAAGAGATGAAATTGATGGTGAGGGAAAAAATGATAATGTGGGAAAAAGCGATAGTGAGGGAAAAAGAGATAGTGAGGGAAAATAGGGGGCAGGGAAAATAGCGATAGCAAAGGAGAATAGTCAAAATGATGGGAATAGTGATAGTGAGAGAAAATAGTGAAAGTGAGAGAAAATAGTGACAGTGGGAGGAAATATTGATAATGCGGGGGAATAGTGATAAGAAGACAACATTGGTAATATGTCGTCTTAGATGAGGAAGAGCGAGGAATCTTTCTTTTTTGTGTGTCCTATTGATTTCCCATCACACTAAATGATTTCCTGAGACAATTCTCTCTCTCTCTCTCTTGCTATCTCTCCCTTACGCTCCCTCTCTCCTTCTCTCCATCTCTCTCACTTTCTTCCTTCCTCCCTCCCTCCTCCTCCTCTCTCTCTCCTCTCTCTCTCTCTTACGTTCCCTCTCTCCTTCTCTCCATCTCTCTCACTTTCTTCCTTCCTCCCTCCCTCCCTTCCTCCCCTCTCCCCTCTCTCTCTCTTTCTCCGTTTCTTATGCTATCTCTTTCTCTATTACGCCCCCTCCCTCTCTGTTACTCTGTTATTCTCTGTTTCTCTCTCTGTCTTTCTCTTTCTTTGTCTAGCTAATTTTTTCTTTAAGGCTCTCCATCTTTTATTCTGTCTGTCTGTCCCTGTCTCTCTCTTTCTCTCTCCATCTCCCTCTGTCCCCCCTCCCCCCTCTCTCTTCCACTTTCTCCTCTCTCTCCTCTCTTCCCCCACTCTCTCTCTCTCATCTCTCATTCTCTCTCATCTCTCCTCTCTCTCTCTCTCTCTCTCTCTCTCTCTCTCTCTCTCTCTCTCTCTCTCTCTCTCTCTCTCTCTCTCTCTCTCTCTCTCTCTCAATCAAGGATAAATAGCATTTGCAATCTTCCGATGACAGAGATTGCAACAAACTTCACCAGGAAGTATATCATTTGCAACGATGCAATGTTCAATGTTTTGTGATAAATCACCTATCTGCAAACAGTCCCCTTCCCTCCCCTTCCCTCCTCTCTCCCTTCCTTCCCTCTCTCCCCTCTCTTCCTCATTTCCTAAGCATCCTTCCCTCCTCTTATCCCTCTCCCTCCGCTCCTCCTCATCTCCTTCCCTACTTCCCCTTCTTCTTTTCCTCTCCCCGTCTCTTCCTCCTTTCCTTAGCATCCTTTCCCTCTCTTCCTCACCCCTCCTACCTTAACCCTCCCTCTCCCTCCTCCCTCCTCCTCCCTCTCTCCCTATCCCTCACCCCTCTCTCTTCCTCCTCACAGACAAGTAGACAGACAGAAGAAAATAGATAGATAAAAGAGCAAACACGAATGCATAAACCGCGGACCTTCACCACGCCCCGAACTTCCTGTTCTGTGAAAAGATAACAGCGAGAGATAACCAGCCAGCTTTTCGGGCGACAATCAGCTGGGAATGCATTGATGCCGCGGGTGTCGGGAGCCGGTTTTTGGTGGAATCCGCTCTCGGTTGGCGATAAAATGCGGATAGGTGGATGGTGAGGGCGTGAGGATGATGGTGATGAGAGAAAGAGCGAGAGATGGAGGAGGGAGGGAGGGAGGGAGGGAAGGGAGGGAGATAGATAAATAGAGAGAGAGAGAGAGAGAGGGAGGGAGGGAGAGAGAGAGAGAGAGGGAGAGAGGGAAGAGAGAGCGAGAAGAGAGAGAGAGGGAGGGAGGGAGGGAGATAGATAGAGAGAGAAAAGAGAAAGAGAGAGAAGAGGAGAGAGAAAGGAGAGAGAGAGAGAGAGAGAGAGAGAGAGAGAGAGAGAGAGAGAGAGAGAGAGAGAGAAGATGGAGGGAGGGAGTGAGAGAGAGAAGAAGACGGGAGCGGAGTGAGAAGAGAGAGAGAAAGAGAGAGAGAGGAGAAGCCAGAAGAAACGACCGCCGCAGAGAGAGAGCAGCGAGAAGGGGGCGAGCGAGGCCGGTATATACAGGACAAAGGCCGGGACCGCGCGTCAAAGCGCAAGTTTCTCCACCATAATGCCACAGTGCTTTAGCCTGATCGACTCGGACGACAAGACGCAGACGAGGGAGGCGAATAGATGGAGCGAAGTGGAGGGATGAGAGGTGTAGCCCGGTGGGGAGGAGCGGTTAACCTCTTAGCCTTCACCTATTTAACTCTCTGTAATTAAAGACGGCCCGCGCCCGCACACCAGCCTCTGGACGAGGAAGGCCTTTGCGCCAAAATCCATGTCTGTTCACATGTCTGTCTCTCTCCACTGCTCTCCTTTGAGCGCGCGCACACTCCTCCTCACTCCCTTCACTCCTCCTCCATCCGTCCTTCCTTCCACCCCTTTCTCTACCATTCCCTTCCCCCCTTTCTCCTCCTTCCCTTCCCTCCCCTTATCACCTCCACCTCCTCCTCTTCTCCCACTTATCTTCTCTCTCAAGATAAAGAGCGTGGAAATTTCGCGGATTATCAAGGTCGCTTCGAGTCCCAGTCCGAGAGGGAATCAATCGGGCTTGCCGCGAAGAGACGAGCCGGAGGAGGAAGCGCCGGGGAATCCGCGGAGGAAGCGAGGCGGACGGAGCTGAAGACGATGGCGCTGGCTCCTGCTAGGCCGCATATCCGTCTTTGGATATGGATTGTATATACATATATGTATATATAATATATATATATAATATATATATATATATAATATATATATATATATATATATAACATATTATTATATATAAGTATATATATAGTTATATATATATATACATATATAACGTATATCGCGCATATACACACACATCCCTCAGATGCATAATAGTGGCACATATGGAATAGTAAATCTATTTGATGATAGTATCATATACCTATGTGATGGTGGTGTGTGAGTAGAAAGAGGTGAGGTAACAGGTCATGCGTAGCATATATATGCATATATAATATATATAGAAAGTTATGAGTATTATGAGTAGGAGGTACGATGGATAGTATATAGTATATATGATATATAGGAATAGTTGGAGAAGTAGGAAATCTGATAGTATAAATGGTAGTAGTGAGATGAGGTAATATAGT